ATATTACAGACTGTGATAGACAATTTGCTCCAGGAAAGTTAGAATGAACTTGTGACTTAGAAACTATGTAATCACTTAATCACAATAAAAAAAAAAAAGAACTTCGGGGAAGGGAGGGAGGGAGGGGATGGTAGGGGGAAAACAATGGAGGGGCTAACAATGTTCAAGAGGAAGTGTACTCATTACCTCACTCATGTAACTGTAACCCTCTGTATAGTATCTTTACAATAAAAAAAAATAAAAAAAAAACAAAGTCTGCTCCAGGAACCAAAGAGGTGAAGCAAAGGGGAACCTGAGTATAACAGGAGTGAACTCTGCAATGTACTGCAGCTGCTGTCATCTCTGAACATACACATGAAGAGAAAGTTGGAGTACTGATGTGGAGAACATCATATTTGCTCATCTTCTCCAACAGGCTCTGGTGTTCTAGGGAAAGAGACTGCATGGTTGACACTCATTCCTGGTACAAAGTTTGCTCTTTCGGCATATCTTTGAAAGAAGGACTAAAAACAAGAAAAAGTTAGGTCATCTCCATATTATTGGAGAGAGAGAGAGACAATCAGAATATTGATCTTCAAACACCATGGATATAAACCTTTTGTGTTCATTGAATGACCAGTGGTTGGAATTTTTGAAATCCCCAGTCTCCAACCCAAGCATTCATTCCTAAAGCAGCAAACCCTATTGATCACAAGCTCACAGCTCTTACATAGACCAGCAACTGATAAAGATTTGAATTTCAATCATCCTGCTTAAAGATTCAAAATGAACTATTAGGTTATTCACAAAGCACCTTAAACTCTGCTTAGATGAGATATTCGATTTTCTTTAATTACATGATAAATATCACCTTAATTAAACAATTATCCACCTGAAAAGTTGCCTTCAAAATCACCCTAAGAAGTTCTAGAGTGACTGCATGAATTTTTAAAAGAATATTAAAAACAGAAGGGCTTGGGTCATTATCCTATTAGGTAACTTACATTTAAAAAGTACCATTTTCTTTTTTTTTTTTTCAACTTTGAATTAAGCATTGACCCCTGTTGATATTTCAGGGCCAATATCCAGCATTTCTTTTGGGAATTCTTTTTCCCAGAACTTCCCTAGGCTGTGCCAGCATACTGAAGTTAATAGTCATGGTAGGTTTTCTTTGTTCTTTTCTCTTGTGTTTATCTAGCTCTTACTGCCTTGTGAATACTGACAAAGTGTTCCTTTGCACTCTGATGGACATAAATGTAATCGGAGACTGGGCATTTGCTTAAGGTCTGCAAGTAGAAAGGAAAAGTTCACAATGGCCTCCGTGTGAATACTGTTTGTGTCTACCTGAAGGATGGGATGAAAGATCTCATCAAATCTTCCTTCTGGGGAGTAGAGTATCACAGTGCAGGGGAGCTGGTTTCCCTCCTTCTTCAAATTGGAGTCCTATTTTCCTCCCTTTTGCTTGTTGTTTAAATATTTTATTGTTATTATAGTCGTGATATACAGAGGGGTTATTATGTCATAGGTCATGTAATGAGTACACTTCTTTTTGGACAGTGTCACCCTCTCCCTTGCTTGCTCCCAGGTCTCCCTCCCTGCCCTGTCTACATCCAAAAGTTGTGTAGTTTATTTTCATCATGGTATCTAATGAGAACCACTGTTGCGTTCGTTTCCCTTTTGCTTTTATTGTCATTTCCTCTTAAGCAAATTACTTTTCTTCAGATAGCAAAATAGTTTGAATTTAGTTCAGCAGTATTCACTGCCGAGTGTTACTTTGCATCCAAGAAGCAATTGGAGGTGACAGAAACCCCAGTTTCTCTGATGTGCTTTGAACAGCATGTTTCTGAAATTGGGTTCCAGGTTACTAAAGCCTGAAGTCAGCGTGGATATGACCGGTTGTTGCCCTCCTTAACTGCACTCTAATTTTCATCAGATTCCTCCCATCCTCATTTCCCAAAAGCAATTCTGGGTTGAACATTCCTCCATTGTCTCCTGCTAAATTACTATGCAAGCAGTGTCAGGTAGTTTCCTGTTTGTCCATTCCCAAATCAGCATTTCTAAAATCTACTTTCAAATTGTATCCTTTTTATAATTGTAACCTTTCCAAGTTGTATTCTTTTCAACTCAACATAAATCTCTCCTTTTCAGATCTAAACCCTAGCCCCATCCTAAATAAATCTTTTAACTGCAGAAAAAGAGAAAGATTTAGCTGGGTATAGATCATACTGGTAATCTTAGCTACTCATGAGGCTGAAATTAGGAGGATTGTTGTTGGAGGCTGATCCAGGCCAAAAGTTATTACAACTCCAATTCAACAGAAAAGCTTGAGTGTGGTTGTATATCTGTCATCCCAGGCGAAAGGGAAGTGCAAATATGTGGAACATAGTCTAGGCCAGTGAGGACAGAAAACAAGATCTCAAATAACTAACTAAAGCAAGGCCTTATCTCAAATAACTAAAGCAAAAAGGGCTGGAGGTATGGCTCAAGTTTTATAGCACCTGCTTCATAAGCACCAGGCCTTGAATTCAAATTCTAATACCTCTAAACAAACAAATAAACAACCCTCACCAGAAATATCTAAATTAAGCAATAGAGCTATTAAAATATGGAGTAGAAACAGGATTCCCACAAATTCTCCAGGAAGCAGGAAACGCTATGAACTGGTTCACTAATTACACTTATTATGCATGTGATTCCAAGACTTCTCTCAGGGGGCTTGTCTGAGGTCCTAAGTAAGAGTTTAGGAACTGAAATGGAAAAATACTGAGCAAGCAGGGGAGCTCCATCCTCCTTCTACCCCCTTGGTTGGTGTAGTTGTGTGCTTGGATTGGAGGGGAAAAAGTAGGGAAAGATATATTGGGATAGCTCCCCTGCATGTGTTTAGTACTCCATCTACTGGTCAAAAAGCTCACAGAGGAGAAGAAAGCCTGAGGTCTTGGTCAGATGCAGCTCTGCGTTGAGGTACTCACCCTCTGGGATAACCTCAGGTAGCAGAAGAAGTTGTATCTCAGCCTAAGTAGGATGCAAGTCACAAATGCTGTTCACATTGCTCAGAGGTTTATAGAAACCATGAGGTATTGAGGAAAACTGATATACAGGACTTTAAGGGCCTACTGAGAAAGTAAAAAAAAAAAAAGCACAGCTACACAATTACTCTAGAAAGAAGAATTCTAAAAGTGTAAGTGGTTGGTGAAGCAAACAAAAATGAGAGTTCCTGTGCTCAGGAAAAACACAAAAAGGAGTTGAGAGCACAAGATAAAAAGGGAAAGTGTTGGTAGAAAATGAAAGGGGGAGACAGGACACCATCATGTTTTGTAGACAGTTCTAAATGTAGGTTTGAATTTCACAGCTACGCTTTTGTGTGACAGTAGGAAATATACTTGGATTCCATTTGTCCATAGGATAATCCTATTAAGTATCAGGGATAATGTGGGAGTCAAATACATGAATATGTGAACCTCTCAAGCCCACAGAAATGTTCAGTCAGTGGTAGTTGTTATTAGTTGGGAGAAGAAACAAAGAAAAGGAAAAACAATGAAAAAGGAAGTGGCCCAGTAAGACATAATGTCAAATACCTTAGTCAATAATGGAGAGCATACACACAAAGCATTTGATCAATGTCACTCTTAATTCTATGACACTAGAAATTGTCTCCACTGTTACTGTGTTCATAAGAGCCCACCTCCATGGGAGGAGGATCTTACTTCTGGGACTTCAGACTACAGGCTGGGAGCTCTACATTCAATCCTCTCTTACCGGACTTCCCCAGTTCAGTGCTTGGAGATGGTGTGAAGGAAAGGCAGATATGACAGTGGGATGAGGAATGATGGGATTGGTCAAGGGACAACTAGAGGTGACGTTTTATCCAGTAAGAAAAGCTAATAGTATGCTCTACCATCCAGGGAGGACTCTGATGACCCTAGATTGCCACATCAGCTGAAGTTAATGCTGCCTTGAAAAGGCTAGAAAAAATACCTGTAAAATCGAAGACACTTTACCTCCTCTCTAAAAGCTGAGTCCTCAAGGTAGACTCACGAGGTGGAAGTTCATAGCTCTCTCAATCCTTCAGTACCTGATATGAGTACCTGTAAGACTTGTCACAGCCCTCCAAACATCTAAAGCCTCTCTAGTGAAGAATATTCCAATATATACACACATGCACATACACACACACACACACACACACACACACACAGATTTAAGACCTCCAAGAAAACCCTTTGTCTACCGTCTCTATCCAGAGCACTGAAGCTTGAAACCAGAAAATCTGTTTCCTGATGTAACATCCAACTAGTCTCAGGGGATAGCAGCCATTGCCTGCATTTCCAACCTTTTACCAGCTTCCATCCATGCCAAGGAGAAACTAAGACTAAGAACACAGTAATATGATCCTCAATTAGCGTAATATAAAAACAACCCAGTCATGTTTTCCATGGGCTTTTCCAACCTCAAACTCAAAGCATAAAGCAGAGAGAAAGAGATAAAAATATGCACATGGAACTATAAATAGATATATATGGTCTGTGTGCACAGCCAAGTACTCTGACCCAAATGAGTATCTCTCTGGCTTTAGAAAAACCAAGCATCCAGATGCAGAAATCTGAGAATTTGCTGCTTTAAAAGTGTGGTGTGAGAACAGACAGGAAGGAAAAGCACCCTGATTACTTGGTGTGGAAGGGGTTAAGTCCTCAGTCATTCTATTCTGAAGTGATTTATGATGATGTGTAGAGTTTCAAACTTTCCCCCAGCCCAAAGTACAGCCCTCTCCCTTCTCTCTCTTTCTCGATGTGCTGAAATGGGAAGGCGGCATGCTTTGCTGATCTGTTAAATTCTTAGTGAAGTTTCCTTGATTTCCAGTGGCTGCTGTTGTTTGAGTTTGGTTTGGAGCAAAACTGAGCGAGTTCTGACATTTCTGGGACTGAATCCAGTCAAGAGGAAGAAGAAAATAAGGAGAAGGAAAAGAGGAAGCAAAAAAAAAAAGGTGGGGAGAAATAAAGGGAGGAGAGGAGCAAAGGAAAAGGAGGGAAAAGTCTTTTTTTCATCACATTCCTGTTTTTCTTTTCTTTCTTTCTTTTTTCTTTTTTTCCTCAGCCTGGAAAACATATTAATCCCAGCGCTTTTACTCCCGGAAACAAAGGGACTGAGCCAGACTGTGGGAGAAAGGGTGATAAGAAGGATCCTGGAACTCTTAAGAGGAGGGAAAGAGTGAGCTTTCAGAAATCACCAGGACTTTAAGGGACATTTCAGTTGCTACAAGGAACTGGCAGACAGAGACACACCAGACCCAGGAAAAACTGCAGACAAATGGAGATACAAAGACGTACAAGGACAGCTCCTTCCACTTCATCTCACTGGTCTAGAAGGTGAAAAGACACAGCCAGGAAAGAAACGGAATCAGCTCAGCTCTCAAACCAGGACAGGCTGGGAACCCTGGTGCTTCTTTGCAAACTGGACCTGAAGCCCACTTCTTTTCTAATCACTTAACCTCAACCAGGAGTCAGGGGACGGTGAGGAGAAGGATTTCATCTAGAAACTGTCCTGGGAACTGAACTTCAAATTTCTTTAGAAAAACCTCTGCAGTCCATCTCTATAAGCCACAATGTAAGTGTGTTCAGCTGGCCTTGGGCGTGTTTGTTTCTTTGTTGTTTATTTGAAGGAATGTGATGTTGTAAATGTTTAAGATGAATAATTAATGTGCTTAGTTCTCAGTTAGTTCAAATGCTGTAAGCACAGTGAACCAGAGAAGCTAAGTTGGATTTCCTGATTGATATAACTGTCTCTGCTCAGCATTGACAAATCACAGGAGCTTAAAAATCACAGGATCTCATCTTTTTCTTTTCCATTCTCTGATCCTTTTTCCTTTTGTAGTCACCACTTGCCCCTCCCCTTAGCTAAAAGAGATAACAGTCCAGCTCTGTTTGCAATTCAACCATCTCTTTTCTTTTTTTCCTCCCCTCTCCTTTCTGTCTTAAGACCCCCACTGCCTTCCCAAAGTGGTTTACACAATGATGTGGAGAATGGGACCCTGTCTGACCATGCTGGTGGCAATGTGGCTGGTATGTGCATCAGAACCTCGCCCCCCTGCCACCAATAGAAGAGCCCATGAAGGTCAGAAAGTGCCCTTGGTCTCCACACCCAGCAGCAGAGCTGCTCAGTTTTTGAGGCACACAGGGCGATCTCGTGGAATGGAGAGGTCCACTGTGGATGAGCCAAATCTTCAGCCTCTCCAAAGAAGGAAGAGTGTGCCAGTATTGAGACTAGCTCGCCCAGGGGTGTCCCCAACCCCCTTGGGCATCAATGAGGACCCTGTGAGACCTGAGCTGAGACCCACAGCCCGAAGCTCCCCTCGAGAGATGGTCCGAGATGAAGGGTCTTCAACTCGGTCAAGAATGTTACGTGTCCCCTCTGGATCCAACTCTCCCAACATCCTGGCCAGCTTCGCGGGGAAGAACAGGGTGTGGGTCATCTCAGCTCCTCATGCCTCAGAAGGCTACTACCGTCTCATGATGAGCCTCCTGAAAGACGATGTGTACTGTGAGCTGGCCGAGAGGCACATTCAGCAGATCGTGCTGTTCCACCAGGCAGGCGAGGAGGAGAGTAAGGTGCGAAGAATCACCAGTGAGGGCCAGATCATGGAGCAGCCCCTGGACCCCAGCCTCATACCAAAGCTCATGAGTTTCCTGAAGCTGGAGAAGGGCAAGTTTAGCATGGTACTCCTGAAGAAGACACTACAGGTAGAGGAGCGCTACCCTTACCCAGTCAGACTGGAGGCCATGTATGAGGTCATCGACCAAGGCCCTATCCGCAGAATAGAGAAGATCAGACAGAAGGGTTTTGTCCAGAAGTGTAAGGCATCTGGGGTAGAGGGCCAGGTGGTAGAGGAGGGGAATAATGGAGAAGGAGCAGGAAGGCCAAGCCTGGGCAGCGAGAAGACAAAAGAGGACCAGAAGAAAGCACAGATCCTCCCAACCAGAGAGCCTCGGGTGAAGGTGATGAGAAAACTGGCTACCACCAAGGCAGTTACTCCCTCTCCACCACCCACCCCAAGGGCCACCACCCTTCTTCCTGCTCCAGCCACAACAGCCACGAGGGCCACTGCCCGGGTGGTCACAGTAGCTGCAAGACCCACCACCACCACTCCCTTTCCTACCACCCAAAGGCCCTGGACCCCCCGACTACACCCCATCTCAGCCTCCCACAGGCCCCCCGCAACAGTGGAGGTGCCCACTGCTAGGGGCTCCTCAGTGTCAGAGAATCTGTACCCTCTACCTAGGAAGGAGCAGCCGAGGGAGAGGCCACAGGCCACCAAGAAGCCCAGCAAGGCCACCAGCTTTGAACCTTTCACAGCCGCCCCTCCCACCACCATCTGGGCTCCCACAAGAACTGTAGGCCAGGGCCGCTTCCGGGACAACCGCACAGACAGACGGGAACATGGCCACCAAGACCCAAATATCGTGCCAAGTCCTCACAAGCCAAGCAAGGGGAAACTCGCCAAAAAGAAGGCCCAGGACAAAATTCTTAGCAATGAATATGAGGATAAGTATGACCTGAGCCGGCCTACTGCTGCTCAGCTGGAGGAGGAGTCACAGGTCTCGAACTCGCCTTCCCAAAGTGCAAAAGAGTCTAAACAACATGACAAGCTTCAGAAACCTGAGAAGGAGAAGAAAAAAAAGGTGAAGAATGAGAAACCAGATAAGTTACTCAAGAGTGAGAAGCAAATGAAGAAGGCGGAGAAAAAGAGCAAGCAGGAGAAAGAGAAGAGTAAGAAGAAAAAGGCAGGGAAAACAGAGCAGGGTGGCTATCAGAAACTCACAACGAAGCAGCCACCTCCGAACCCCAAGAAATCAGTGACTGACCTGCTGGGGTCCTTTGAAGGCAAACGAAGACTCCTTGTAAGTAATCTTTGGCATTATTCTGTGGGCTGAGGTGGGCATGCTTGCTCCTGCTTGTCTGGTTAGTTTTGCAGAATTACATTGACAGATGCCAGGCTGAGGCTGAACCTGTGCTTGGTCAAGAAGCTCAGGAAGTTTGGCTAGAAAGACAGCCAAGCTAGTAGCACACAAGTCCACACAAGTCATGGCCTGATAACATAGAATCCATGGTTGGAACATAGAGTCCTGGCTCAGGGAGAAGAGTTATAGTCAGCTTCCTCCAAATTACACAATATACACCCATCCTTTCAGCTCTTTTCCAAAAAATACTTGGGAATGCAGTTTGCCTTTAATCAAGGTTAAAGAATAAAAGAGTGAAGGAGCTATCTATATGGATTGCATTGACGATAGTCACCACTCAGGATTGGTGCTTCTCCTTAGGAGCTAGAAGCATGCATGTGGAGAACATGTCAGGGGTCCTTTTCTCTCTCTCCCTCAATAGAGCTAAATCAAGGCTGACCTGGAAGGCTGAAAGGGGAAACTGAGGCAACCTAGGTTGAGAGAGGGGTTGATTGAAAGAAGGAAGGGTCTGGTTGTTAGGACTCTCTCTGGAATTCTTTTCATTTTTTATTTTACTTTTTAAATGTACTTTATTGCTATTAGGAATGTGATGTGCAGAGAGACTACAATTACATAAGTCAGGTAATGAGTACATTTCCTTTTACACAGTGTCTTCTCAGGGATGCTTTTAAAATCCTCAGGCAGAAAATATTCTCCCATTAAGGCTACCTCCTTTTATCACTGCCAAACTACTAACCAGATCCAAAGGCTGGAGCATGGGGAACTGGGTTAATTATTCTGACTTCCAGTACCCTAGAGATGCCTTTGAATTTGGTGTTAGATATCAAGCCCTACCAAGTGAGTGACTGAAGGGTGTGTGTGTGTGTGTGTGTGTGTGTGTGTGTGTGTATGTGTGTGTGTAAAAGGAGACTAGCAGGCTCTACTATTTGCCCACTGCTTCCAATTACCACTAGGGTTAAATGAATCATTTAACCTCTTTGTTTCCTTACTTGCCACTATTCAACAGAAGCTAGTTAAATCTAAGAGTAACTTTGAGCAGGAATAAGACTATCCTAAGTGGAGGGGCAGTTGTCATCAATGACGTGAAGATAGCTCCTTCACTTCTGCATTTCTCCAGTTGCTCTTATATAGGATTCCTTCACAATTTTTCATTTTTCTCCGGGCTCTCAAAGTAGAAAAGAGTAGGTTACAAATGGATCACAGGGAAATAGTAAGTTAACATTGGTTAATGTGAGTCAGGAATGGGGGAAGTAGTTAGCACCTCTCCTACTGAACTCACAAGCTGAATGTGCTCTTGCATTAACCCTGAAAAGAGAAGGTTCTCTCATCTCATGGAATTTCTTTGGGAGTCTTTTAGTTTTTGCATTCTGATCTAAATTTGAACTAATGTTTTGGGCATAGAGACTGTGGTACCCATTTATCTATCATTTCAAAACATTTAAATGCCAAGTTTTGAAATGTTAACCAGAGTAGAGATCATTATGGTGTTTATTCTGGGTAGAAAACATCTCAGATTTTCTTCTTGGTTTTCATCAACAGTGACGATAAGGATTAGAATGAAGTCTTAGCTTCAGTTGATTCTAAGGACTTTGTGCATATGTGTGTGGAGGAGGGTGTTATGTACTTTTAATATGTCATTGCTATTTTTTGTAGTCCTGGGAATTGAGCCCAGATGCTTGACTATGCTAGGCAAACAGTCTACCATTAAGCTACATTCCCATCCTTTTATGCTATAAAGATCCTTAGTACAAATTACCAGATGATTAACTATCTCAGAGGTTTAATAGCTACTTACATATTCCAGTATTTTGGTACTTCAGTCCATAAATGGAAATTAGAATTAAAAGAGTTGCTGACTTCAGAGTAGATATCTATCTGATACATGGATGTTTGACAGAGGACCCGAAGAGCGTGAGAAAGCATTACTATTGTGCTCTCTTGCTCTCCTCCTGAGTACCTGGGACATTTTCCAGCCCACGATAACACATCACCCAACTCTACCCACTTAGCCAACAAGGCAGGCAAAGTGTTTTCAGGGCCAAGGTTTAACCACGGACAAAATAATCCTGGGTAAAATGTTAGGATTGTAATTGTGCACCCTTCTGGCAAATACTTCCATTGTCCTTAGTTTGTGAGTCAAACATACAGGGTTTTCATATTGTATTCCTAATCTTGGTCATGCTTTTGCTTTCTCTCCCTTTTCTTTACCCAGCCCAGCTGGGTCTTTTCTGCTTTTAACAGTATCCCTGGTCATAAATTTCTAGCAAATGAAGCTCAGATGACAGCTTTTGCTGATGTCATGTGAGGCAAAACAGAAACCAGCTGGAATTGCTCCTGGCAGTGCTGGCTCTTTGGAATTAGCCAGAGAATCAGGTTTGTTATTAGAAAGAGAATACCAACAGGAGGCATTTCAGTCTGTCAGTCCTGCCTGGGACCAGCTGGTGATTATATCAGAAATGTGTTTTCTGAAGAACTAATGATGTATGAAGTAAGAAGAGATTAGAGAAGACTAGATGAAATGAACATGCTATAAAAACAAAGATGGAGAAAAAATGTTTCACCAGACAGAGAGGAGATCAGTGTGTTTTGGAAATGAAAGACATTACTGATACCATTAATCCTTTTTCCACTCAGTTTTCCCATCAACCTCTGCTGATGTTATTCAGGAAATTCAGTGATTCAATTAATATTCACTAAGGCTTAGCACTGTTGAGATGTTCAAGTGTAGCTGAGAACATTTACCTCTAACTGGCTTGAATTTGACCAAGTGTGCATTCTAAGAAACAGTGCTGCAGCTCGCTCTAAGAAATGGGTTTTTAGCTTACCTCCCCAGCTTTTCATTTGCCTGATGCATGAGTATAACTCATCATAAACACTTGCTGCTTTGCATTTATTTATACCATTCTTTAGATGTGGAAACATCATCTAATTGCTACTTAAGCAATTATTTAACCCTGGCAGCAATGGTAGACTTTGTGCTTGGGCTATTTGCATTCTAGAAAAGATCAAGGACATTGCAGATAAAACCATATGTACTATTATCAAGACAGAGTTTAATCTTTCAGCCCCCTGCCCCTCAGTCTGTCACTGAAGAAGATCATATCATATATGCAAGGTACTTTGTCAGACAGTATGTTTTAATTCTCACTGCAATCTGATAAGTAATGATTCATTAACCCTGCTTGACAGAACAGAAAACAAAAGCTTAGAGAGACTGAGAAATCTACCCAAGATGAATGGTTAACATATGACAAAGCTAGCATTAGACTTGTATCCATTTGATTTCTAAGGTCAAGCTTGAGCCACACTCCCATTCTGTCTTCTAGGGGGTGTCACCTTTCTGTGGCACATATCATAAAGTGAAGGGGAAATTGAGGAGCTGTTTAGTTTAGTTAGTAAATATCAATTTTAAAATTCATTTTGGATACTGAATTGCCAAAGTAAGTTGTAGGATATAGCAAGTGTCATGTCAACATTTTGTGCTAAGCTCAAATGTATAATTTCTTCCATTTCTACCTAGCTATATCTCTCTACTTCAACTCTGTTAATATTGAACTGAATCCCAGTTAGCCTAACCCTGCCGATGCTTGACATTCACTGTAGTGACAGTGTAGGTTCAGTTGTTTATTACTGAAACCTTGAACTCTGTGGAGTCCAACTGGCAAGCCATTATTTGATACTCTGAAATCTACCTGCTAAGGGACCTCAAGACACTGCAATGCACAAATCCAAACATACATTGATGCTTTCTTTTTCCCATAAAAATCTAGTGTTTTGAGCTTAACTCAGTATTTAGAAATAATCTGCAGCTTTATCCCACTCGTAGCATCTTCCCTTCCCTACTTGTTCACTTTACTTATACAACGGGCATTCTTCTCCTCACAGGCTCATTGGGCCAACACACCATTTGAAACAGAAACATGAATAAGATCACAACACAATTTTAACTGCATGTGACAGACAGTATGGAGGACGAGTTTAGGAGGTGCTTTTTAGGAAGAAGAGCCTGGAAATATTTTCCTTTTTAAACACTCTTTAAACGCTGCCCAACTAAAAACAATTAATGTGATGGAGCTGTCAACATACAAAGGGAAAGAGCTCCTAAAAGGTGTCAGATGAGCAGCTTCCTTTATTTTTTTTCCTGTGTATACTTGAGAAAATATTAAATATTAGAGACAAGGTCTCTCCAACTAGCTATAGCTAGACATTGATAACCAAAGACCCTGATGCTCCTGAGACCCTCTCCTTTCCTGGGGATGGAGTGATGTCTGTAGATTGAGAAATATGACCCTCCACCATTTGCAGGAGAGTAACAGAGTCTAAAGCTTCAATATCTCAAGGAACTTGACATTAACAGAAAAAGAATAGTAAATGAAGGAAATATATAAATTCTGTATGAACTAGACAGACCTTTAGAGCTACATAGCTCAAAGAAGCTTCCCTCTTTGAGCTAAGGTAGTGGGGAAGGTTATATGAGTTGGGAGGAAAGTGGGTGAACCATTTACTCAGCAAGCATTCGTGTGTTGGGGTACTGTCTGTACACATATATGGCTCAATTCTCACAACTCTATGAAACAGGTACGGAAGTAGTTGTGTGGTAAAAATGGCAAAGCTGAGATTCTTAAGATTAGTAAAGATTGTAAGCCAGCCATGGGTTGAACTAGGAAAAAAATGTCAGTCTGCCAACTTTGACTGCAACCATTCTTTCTCTGTGCCACTTGGCCAAGATTCCTTGCATTTCATCATTTAGATTGGTGAAAAAAGTTTAAGGGAGTAATAAGAGCAGCATTAGCAAGAGAAAGCCTGAGATGGGATCCTGGAAAGCTGAAGCCAGGAAATGAGTCATGCAAAGGAAATGTCACCCCTTGGGTTGAGGCATCCTTGGGCAAAGGCTGAAGGTGAAAATAAGCATCAGGTCTTTATTTATTTGAAATTCCTGCTGGGTATCCAGAGCTTAACACTTCTGTGCACACAGCTAGGGAGAGAAGTTGTCCTGCATGAGAGAAAGAGCTTATCTGTAATTATGTATGGTCTGAAAATCTTAATTATACACACTCTGGGGGAAGGAGAATACTAGAGGAGGCTTTGAAAACTCAGAATGTGGTCATATCATGGTCTGTCTGTGGACAGCATGAGGTATATGGAAAAGTATGAGCCAGTGAAATGAAACCTGTGTATGGATTCCAAGCCACAGAGACAAATAATTGTCAGTCATTGGGGAAGCTGTCCTGGGAATCCTTTCCTTTTTAAGTATGGGTTTATCCTTAACAAAATTTAAGGAATCTAAAATCATTAACAGGGAATCCTTTTTACTTCTTTGTTTTCACTGTTTCAAGTTATCAGTTAAACACACATTTTTGTTAATTTAAAAATAGAGCCAGAAAGAAAAAAAAACTAAAATAAGTTAAAATACAACTTCAAGATTCAATCTCTCATCTCAAAAACTAGACAGCTAATTAAAAACAATCCCCAAATACCATCCCCATATTTTTTTCAGTCATTTTAAATCATGTTTAAACATCAAGTGTAACTAAATGAATAAATTTGGGATTTTTTAAATTATTTCTTTCTCCTTGGGAATTACTTTTTTTTGTTTCTTTGTTTTGGGGTTTATTTTTTGTCAGTTGTAGGGTTTGAACTCTAGGCCTTGGCACTGTCCCTCAGCTTTCAGTTCAAGGCTAGTGCTCTACTTGAGCCACAGCGCCACTTCTGGTTTGCTGGTGGTTTATTGGAGATAGGAGTCTCATGGACTTTCCTGCCTGGGCTGGCTTTGAACTGTGATCCTCAGATCTCAGCCTCCTGAGTAGCTAGGATCACAGGTGTGAGCCACCTAGCTTCCTAGCTACTACATAGGTCTGAACAGATATAAAAATACAAAATAAAGGGGCATGGGAAGTTGGCTTAGTGGTAGAGTGCTTGCCTCGCATGCATGAGACCTGGGTTTGATTCCTCAACACCACATAAGCAGAAAAAAGCTGGAATTGGCACTGTGGCTCAAGTGGTAAGGCGCTAGACTTAAGCTAAAGAGCTAAGGGACAGCACGCAGGCCCAGACAGCGTTCAGGCCCCACAACCAACAACAAAAAAAAAGAACTGAGAGTGTCTTGTTTAAAATTAATAACAATTTGATAAACCAAAAAGAGAGAATTAAAAAAAAACTATACAGAAAACATCTGCTAATGTTCTACCCCCAAAACTATTCAATCAATGGCTAGGTGCATTAGTGCTTGCCTGTTTTCACAACTACCTGAATTCAATACCCAGTAGTGAAAAAAAATACTATTGAGTACATTTACATTTGAATTTCCTTGAGGGGAAGCATTTTGTTAGACTTAGAGAATCCCTTGCAGATAAAGCCTGCGAGGCACAATAAACCAATCTGTCAGAGAAAAATAAATAGATCGAGTTGGGACCAAATGAATTGACCGTTTTTCTTTAAATATTTGGAAAAAGTTAGCAACATGGTGAAAAATGTGAAATTAGTAGGTACAAACTTCAGAAATTGTTTAAATGATTAGGTGGGTAAATAGAAAAGTGTCTGATAAACGTGAACATGGTACAATTTGAGAAGTCGTTTATAGAAAAAAAATTATAAAAGCTTGCTTCTGAGTTCAGTGAGCCAAAGGTAAATTGACAGTGGTTATTGTAAACACTGGCCTGTGAGCTATTTGGAAGTCAAAGAGATAAACGGAGCCTGCTTATCATCAGAATAAAAATTCCATATCCTCCCACCTCCAGGGTGAACAGCATCATGCCTTCCCATTTGGGGAGTGTAGAACATAGTTCTGGTGTCAGTTCAGGAAAATCTTTCAAGTTGGCAAAAGCTCAAAAAAGTAATTAAGAGAGTCGAGGAGCTTTTGAGGTCCAATTTCAGAAAGGAAAAATAAAAGTGAGATATTTTAAGAGAATTTAAGAAGACCTTTAAAAAAAGAGAGACATCTTCATTTTAACCAAAAAAATGAAATGTGTTTCATGTGTTTCTCTGATTACTTATAATTATATTTCTTAGTTGCGTTGCCTTTCCCCATTTTCCCCAGAAGACGTGAAAAGTCACAAAGTAAGGATGAAAGAGTTAAAACCATCCTGTCTGGAGACTCCAACATCAAACCCTACTGTGTGGGTTTGACAATGAATAATAGCTATGTGATAAAATGCAGATCAAAAGGTCATCATAGAAACTCCCTGTCTACTACAAATCCTAAACCATACAATGTTCCACAGCAAACAAGGCCTGGTTATGAAATTATCTCAACTATGTGGAATGTGAAAAACCATAACCACTAAATCAACCAATGTCTGATTAGCCATTTAGGAGAATGGAGAGCCAAATGAAGCAAGGCAGATATTTGTAGAAGAATTACAGCACGTAGGACATTAATATAACACAACGTCTTTTCAAAAATAAGAATTCCTGTGTGGAATTCACAAGTGGGGAACCTAAGACAGCATGATAAAATAAGAAAACTGAGTAGAAACAGTAAGCTGTCCTGAATAATTAAAAACAACAACAACAATAACAAAATTCCTGTCTAAGTGGCCTACTCAGCTTTTATTTTGATGACTGTTCAACTGAATAGTCTAGTTGAATTGCCTTCTATTTCCAAACCATCTCTTGGGGTTTTGCCTCCGTGTGAATCTAACACTGAACGAATGTTTGCTTGTCCTTACCCACCTCCAGTTGATTACTGCTCCCAAGTCTGAGAACAACATGTATGTGCAACAGCGCGATGAATACCTGGAGAGCTTCTGCAAGATGGCCACCAGGAAAATCTCCGTGATCACTATCTTCGGTCCTGCCAACAACAGCACCATGAAAATTGACCACTTCCAGCTAGGTTCTCTTTAATTTTTAAAAATTACATTATTGTTTCCCTCATATCTAGGATGGGACAGACATTAGGATTGAGGTCTTTGGGGGACCTAAGGGCACACAGAGATGTCAGAGGATTCTTTGGCTGTGGTTGGTTATACAGGTGAGTTGGCTGACCGATTTACATAGACATTCCAAGGATATTCTGTCTTAAGTTTTCAGTACTTTAAAGTGAAAAGAAAAATACATGCACTTTTACTCTGTTCTTGTCTGAAAGTCAGTAAAGTAGAGGGAAAAAAGTCTGAAGAGTATGAAGAAGAATCAGAGAAGTATCCAACCCCTTCTTGATCTTGGGTGCTTGGTTCTGTCTGCTGGGGTCGACTCATTACTCATGAGGACCTGCCAGACTCCTGGAAGTACTTGACTTTGGCAAGCCCATAGAAGGAATTTAAGGGGAGTTGAAAGGAGCTGTTTAGCTAAATGAAAGCTCACCAACAATGTGGACTGACCTATGCCCAAGTTCTTTCAGAGAGTAGAAGAATTCGGCTGAGGATTTTCATAATTTTCCGTATTAATTATGTATGTGATGGTCATGAGCTCACAGCTCAGCCTTGGGCAGCTGAGGTCTAACTCTTAACAGCTTCCCAGGAAGATTGTAAGACTAACTGCAAAGACTAGCTCAGAGGCCAGTCTGACCTAGCTAGTTTCTATCCTTGTCTTGTTTTGCCTCCCATTCCCTTCCCTTCCCTTTCCTTTTCCTCCAGTCCTCCTTCTCTCTCTTTCTTCCTCTCTTCCTCTCTTCTTCTCTTCCTCTCTCCTCTCCCTCTCTCTCTCTCTCTTTCTTTCTTTCTTTCTTCCTTTCCTTCTCTTATTTTTCTTAACTATCCTTAAGTAACTGTACAAAGGGATTTTAATTCAATAAGTCAGTTTATGAGTACAAGCATCTTGATCAATGTCAACCCTTTCATTATTCTCCCCATCTCTTCCAACCAGTTTCTTTCATATGTATTATATCCTTAAAACTTTGTTTTTAAAATATAATTTTATTATTACTAGGTTGTTGTATTGAAGGGTTACCATGTCATAAGTCAGGTAATGTGTACATTTCTTTTTTGGAAATGATACCCCATCATTCACTTTCTCCCCAATTTCCCCCTCCTGTTTCTGCCCATAAGTTGTATGGTTCATTTTCCATAGTGTCTATTGAGAACTGTGCTTCTATTTGTTTAACCTTCCTCTTTCCTTTTCTGCATATCCCCCTTGTCTCCCCTAGAAGATTAAAAAAAAACCCAAAAGCAGAAACAAACAACAACAACACTATTACCACCATATCTCACACACACACACACACACACACACACTCATACATACATACAACATCAACAAAACATGTTTCCATTTCCTGGAATTTTCTGGTGGTGGTGGTGGTGGTGGTTATGGGTCTTGAACTCTAGGCCTGAGTGCTGTCCCTAAGCTCTTCACCTCAAGGCTAGTACTCTACAGCTTGAGCCACAGAGGTGGCTCAAACAAGACATTCCTTCCCAGGCTGGCTTTGAACTGTGATCCTCAGATCTCAGCCTCCTGAGTAGTTAGGATTATAGGCATGAGCCACTGGTGCCCAGCCTGAACAAAATTTTTAATTATAATATATTGTATTGTTAATTCCAAACACAGATTGTACAGGAGAGCTCTAAGATTTAGGAATAAATGTTCAGTTATTCATTCTTTTTCATTAACTCACTGTCCCCAGAGATAGCACAAAGAACAAGTAAATCTCACTCTTGCCAATGTCCCCTCATAAATTACTGTGAATTAATGATTGAGCTGTGGACAATTATGCCTGAATTGAGTGTACATTTGAAAGGAAGAATTAAAACAATTAAAAATTGCACTTCATAAAAGCAGTAAATGGGCTGGAAATATGGCTTAGTGGTACAGTGCTTGCCTATAGCATGAATGAAGCCCTGGATTTGATTCCTCAGTACCACATAAACAGAAAAAGCTGGAAGTAGTGCTGTGGCTCAAGTGGTAAAGCGCTAGCCTTAAGCAAAAGAAGCTCAGTGATAGTGCCCAGGCCCTGAGTTAAAGCCCCAGGACTGGAAAAAAAAAAAGCAATAAGCAGTAATTGTACAAGTAAATGGCATAAAAGAAGTAGACCTGGAAACAAACATTGAAATCCAGAGTTAACGTTTTTCCTGTGTGATCAGAGGCAAGTTAACTCTTACAGGTTAAAAGGAAATCACTCTTATTTCAGTCTATGGTACAGATTAAAGAAGATAATGTATACTAATGCTTGCCTCATAATGGACATTATTTTTGTGGCCTTTGTCATCATCATCATCATCATTTGCTCTGGCAGTTATCTGGACATCAGTGAGCTATCACTGATACGTTCTAGTTGTCATTAGAATACTTACAATTATAAAATAAATTGCAGTTGCTTTCTGTGTATTATAGCATGCTGACTCATGAGCCCTCACAACTGCTTTTCCAGATCAGAGTGCATTACTACTCTTGATGATAAAGAGAATAATAGTATAACACCATGTTTAGTGGTTAACAAGGATTCAACCATTTGTTTCCTGGAGTATCACATAGTAGCATGAGCCAGTAAGCTAATTAAACTACAGATGTCCAGTGTGAAAAGCATTCAGTCTAGTCCACAGAGTGGTGCTGGCTAGTGATGAAAGTCCTCCTGGTCAGGTGTTCCCTGTGTTGAATGTGTTACCCATTAACTCTCCCACAAAATATTCTTATTCCTTACATCAGAGAAGTTTGGAAAAGTTGCAACACCTTCTACCTTAACCTCTACATGTTTCTATTATAGACATCTGGTGCTGCCTTGGCAAATTTTTAGAATAATTCAGCTGTTTTCTAGACATCTGGATTGAATATGGGGGCTGATGGTTTTCTTTACTGCCTTACTGAAACCCAGGTATTGAAAAATGTGTATTTGCCTCACTGAACGGCAGTCTGGACCTGATTTGCAGTGGGCGGGGATTTATTTTGTTGCTTGTCTCTTTCCTGGAAGGCCTTTTTCTCCTTGTGTTGTGTCCCAGGTTACCCTTATGGGAAAGGCTGAAGTCCTTTCAGCCAAGACTAAGGAGTCAGCCATGGGAAAATAAGAATTGGCATGAGACCTGGTCTCAATGAACCAAACTCCAGTCTTGTCCAATTTTCAGCTGGAAATCTACCCAACAGCCTTATTTTTTTTTCCCTTAAAAATAAATTGAGCACTCCCTACTTTCCCGAACTTTTACTCGGCCTTGAAAACAGATACTTTACCTCCAGCCGCAGTACAGGCTAGATGCACCAACTAACTGCTTCATGTTGCTAAGTGTAATTGGACCATTGATGATGTACCTACAAACACCAGGAAATTTAAAGGAAGGTTCCAGTCATTAGACTAAAACACAAAGGCATTTATAATGACCATCTGGGTTTGCCACAGGAAAGTATGAAAGCTTAAAATGGCCTAACACATAAAGAAATCTGTTAGTATTAGTAGCATTTAAAATATCACTTTAATTTAAGGGTACCATTGTATATGCTGAGGGGACAGAACATAAAAAAGTTTTGTCACATAGAAAGATGTTGCTGGTTAATTGTACTTTACTAAAGAATCTAAAGAAGTCAGTTGCTGAGATACAGGAAAACATTTGTTTTGTAGGGTTTTTTTGCTGTTGTTCTATCGAGCAAGTATAGAGTTTCAAAGAATTTGACACTGGTGTTTGATCCCCAAGTTGCAAGGAATAGAACATTTTACAGAGCAAAGGAAGTTCTTTATTATCTTGTTTGAAATAAGGAGAGTTTGATAGTAATTGATAAAATAAAGTAGAAACTTGATATAGGTGAAATCCAATGACAAGAAGACACTAAATATTTATTGCCTGCTAATATGAATAAGGAATATACAAAGATGTATTAAAAGTAATTTTTATAAATAATGTTGTAACAAAGATTCCAGCCTAAAATAGTCTCTGTCTTTGATCTTCTGGAAGATAATTTTTTTTAATGAAGAATCTTTTAATAGTAGGATCCATAAAAATCCATAAATTCAGGTTTCTTTCTAAGGCAGTATTGAAAATTTTACTCTTTAGTTCCATTGACTCCTTTTATTAATGTTAACAATGCCCAGCAAGCTGCCTTCTCTTGACACTGCTGGCCAGGGTGGAGAGGCTGAGGGAATGCTCAGATGTCCGAACACTGGCTGTTATGACCCCTGTATGCATTCTCTCATTATCAATCATTACCAGTCAGTCTAGACAGGATGAAGAGCCTGCCCCCACCTGGCTCATTCATCCTATCCCACCTCTCTTACTGTCCTAGGCATCATGGGTATCAGGGTCAAGATCAATTCCTGTCAATCAAGAGGTGAAAATGCCAACATTAAATATACCAAACAAGGGTTTGAAGAATGTTGTAGAAGATGAGGAGCTTTTGTCCGATAGGTGATAAGTCTACTCCTTTTTTTTGTTTTCATTTAAAATTTTAAACAAACGATACATTTTCTGAATTTTTAAAGTCAAAGCTACATGAAAAGGTTTACAGAGGAAAATCTTAAGCTTCTGAGCCTATGTTTCATTATATGTTATGATTTCCTGTTTATTCATCCCTTTGTGTGGATATAAATACACACAAATTATTATATTCTACTTTTTTATATAAAAAACAGTTTGTGTATATGGTACTGTATCTTGCTTTTTCATTCAAAAAATATTTTGGAAGGTCTTCCCTTACAGCTGATAGAGCTCTCTATTCTTTATTAACTCCCTGTGAGCTTCTACCATGGTTTATTTAATCAGTTTTCCCCCACACACTTAAATTGTTACCATATCTTTTTTTATTCTACATACAGCATACAGAGTTATTATATCTAATAATGAAAATTTGGGTAAACTTTATCATAATATAGAAAGTAAGATTATTGAACCAAGCAGAAAATATATCTAGTTTTGATGGCTACTACCATATCTCCATTACAAATTGAGTCATTTTGTAATCTTATCAGCAATGTTTAAAAATAGCTAGTTCCCCTAATCTCTATAATTCACGTTTTATTAAACTTCTGGATTTTTTTTTTGTCGGTCATGGGGCTTGAATTCTGGGCCTGGATACTGATCCTGAGCTCTTCAGCTCAAGGCTAGTGCTCTACCATTTGAGCCACAGTGCCACTATCACCTTTTATGGTAGTTAACTAGAGATAAGAATGTCAGAGACTTTCTGCTTGGGTGGATTTGAATTGGGATCCTCAGATCTCAGCCTTCTGAGTAGTTAGGATTACAGGCATGAGCCACTTGTACCTGGCTATGTTTTTTACTTTAGTCTTAAGAATAAATAGCTCTCTGTCCTTCTTGTGTCTAATAATCATTTAGGAAACTTGTTAAAATGCAGATCTCTGTGCTTCACTGACAGTGATTCTAATTCAAATGTTCTGGATCCAAGGACTATAATTTAACAAGTGTTTCTGGTGATTGTGATGAAGGCAGACACTGGTTTGTACCATGTCAAACTGTTGGAGGAGAAAGGACCCTCTGACTCAGTGGGAGAAACTGAAGTGGTCCAGATCTTGGTGAATGGATTGGTTTTACGTGGAGGGAGGATTGGGAGGAGAAACCACAGGAAAGAAGCCATCAGAGGTGGAAGCTTTGACCATGCCTGACACATAGCTGTTTAACATCTTACAATTGAAGCTAAGTTTTCTGAAGTGTCATTGTTGTCTGTGGTGAATCATGGAAGGACAAATGTAAGAAATTTGACTATTCATTTTGAGGTTTGGATTGTTAAATGATGCGGAACTCAACAATATCTCATCCCGTAGCTAAGGCCACCATGCAAGAGTCCAGTCTAGCCTCCCTTTCCTCAATAATATTAGGTCCAATATTATTTTAGGTTTAGGAACATGTTAGGAACATGTGGACAGTTTACAAGCCATTTCCTAAAGAAATTTGGCTTCAAAGACTTGCAAAAAAGGTCTTGACAAAACTTAGGAAGCATCTACTCTAAGTTGCTTTTCCAGACTAATGAGAACCTCTTTTCTTCCCAGCCTAGATTTATACAGAATGCAGAGGCAGGAGCTGGCTTCACATCTGGCTTCGTCAGAATTTGGCTCTGAGTAGATTCTGTCCTGCTGTAGAGCTGTTCACATCCTAGTTGGATCCGGTGTCAATCAGAGCTTTTATTGGTTTTCATTGGTTCATTTCCTGTTCAACATAAACACATGGATATTTTGGTAGTCTGGAGTGTAAGATTATTTTCTTCCCAATGTTTGACTGAATTATTTCAGAAAATATTTTGATTGAAAAAGGAAACTAGACTGGAAAATGGGTTTCTTGCCCATATGCTAGTGGAACAAAGTTTGGTTCTCTGTCCTTCCTAACCTGAAGAGTGAAGTATTTTGGTGGAGTAGAGTATGCTAGTGGAACAAAGTTTGTCTTAAATCTTGGTTCTCCATCCTTCCTAAGCTGAAGAATGAAGTATTTTGGTGGAGTAGGGAGTATGCTGGATGGGAATGAGTCATGTTACTATTGAAACACTTTGTTATTATTTAGCAATAAGGATTTGAGCAAATTACTCATCTTCTCACAGTCTGTGATAAATGGGCTGTCTGAGAAACAGAGTCTCTTGAGTTTGGCATGTAGGAAGTTAATAGGATGCAATCTATAAGTATCTGTAAGGAAGGAAGTATGAAAGATTGAGTAAAAGGGGTTGGTAGAATACTTGCCTAGAAATACACAAGGTGCTCAGTTCAATCCCCAGAAGCCCCCACCCCCACCCAAGTAAAAGATAAAACAGTTGGAGAAAGGATTGAGTTGCGACATGGTTAGGTGAGTTTGAGCTGTAATGCAGTTTGGCCTTCAATTCTCCACTTAGAGGCAATAAGAGCAGTGTTTATTATCTGCTCCTTCCTCCCACTGTATCAACCATTGCTGTCACTAGTAGGGATGATCAATGGAATGGAAAGCTTTTTCCTAAGGAGAACAACTCTCAGGGAAGGGTTCAGTTACTGATATTGGCCACACAGCATCTCCCACAGTTCCTTAGTTTCCACTTCAATAATGTGATTGGGTCTGTTTCAGTTACCAAGTGCCACAATGAAGCTAGGTAGAAAATACAAAACTCAATAGCATGTAATTTTTTTTGTCAGTTGTAGGGCTTGAACTCAAGGCCTGGGCATAGTCTGTAAGCTCTTTTGCTCAAGGCTAGCATTCTACCACTTTGGATCATAGCACCACTTCTGGTTTTCTGGTGGTGTATTGGAGATAAGAGTCTCACAGACTTTCCTGCCCAGTCGGGTTTTGAATTATGATCCTCAGATCTCAGCTTTTTGGGTAGCTAGGATTACAGGCGTGAGCCACCAGCTTCTGGCATATTATTTGATCACAAATCTAATATAGGCTGCTGTTTATTAGGTTGTTTTACACATCTATAATCAGATACAGATTGGTTATGAATCTGTCACTAGGTTTAAAAAATTTTTTCATTTTTCTCTGTAGCTATGATCTGTTCAGAGTGTTCCAGAATTAATTATATACAAAAAAATACAGCAACAGACATAGATTTCAGACTCAGAAATATGTGTAATGGTGATAAAATGTAACAACAACGTTTCTGTGTCTTGCTCTCTGACAAATTAAGTGAAGACTTACTCCCAGAGAGGTTGATGGTCCTTTGCTGGAGTATTTCAGCCTCCTTTATCATTTTCTCCTTGTAAATGTATCACTCTGAACAGGCTGGGCAAAGGTGGGGCTTCATCATCTTTAGAAAGCCACTGTAGCTTTCCAAACTACATGTGTTTGTTTCTATATTTAATCTATTCCACAATCTTGCTTCACATGCAATGTGAGTTTAATATACAGAAGTTATGAAGGTTGGTTTGATTAGACTGGGATGAAGGCCCAGAGCCTCCTCTTATTTTTATGTTACTGATTTCCGTCTTGCCACACGTGTGCCACTTACTTACGTTTCATTTGCCTTAAGATAATGAGAAACCCATGCATGTGGTGGATGATGAAGACTTGGTAGACCAGCATCTCATCAGTGAACTGAGGAAAGAGTACGGAATGACATACAATGACTTCTTTATGGTGCTGACAGATGTGGATCTGAGAGTCAAGGTACAGGTTTTTGATGTGGGTGATACAGTGTAATTCCTTAGAATGGCAACCATGATTCTTTCTATCAGTAAGTCCATCAGATGTAAAAGTAAGCGCAAAGTACTTCTTAAATGGAAAGGTTTTCAAATGGCCCAAGTACTTGAAGTTTTTCTATGAATTTTCATGAAGGATTTTTCTTTCCAGAAAAGATTAGGGGGACTGATTTCTAAGAGTACAGCTACTTGACTCAGTTTAAGTTTTCCTCCATTCTTAAGACATCTATTAAATAACTGTGGTGCTCTCTGCTCTCAGCTCTGTGGATAAAAGGGTAAGCATGGTTTCTGTCTTCAGCCCATGTTTAACATGAACTTCTTAGGGAGGACCTGCAATTTTATCCTCTGAGTCAACATAGAAGAATCTGTAGGATTTCTGTTTTAAAAAAATATGTTTTATTATCTCTAAGTAGTTCACAAAGGAGTTGCCATTTGACAAAGCAGTTTATGAATCTAGTGCATCTTGCTCAACATTCTTACCACCCCTCCCAACTCCTCCCTTCCCTTTCTTACTTTTTTTTTTTTTTGTCAGTTGTGAGACTTGAGCTCTGGGCCTAGGTGCTATCCCTCAGTTCTTTTGCTCAAGGCTCTACTACTTTAAGTCACAGCACCACTTCCAATTTTTGAGTGGTTAATTGGAAATAAGAGTCTCATGGGGACTTTTCTGCCCTGGCTGGCTTCAAACCTTAGATCTCAGATTTCAGCCTCCTAAGTAGCTAGGATTACAGGCATGAGCCACTGGCATCTGGTCCCTTACTTATCTTAATTTTAGGTTAGGTATTGAATTGTTTGCCATTCAACAAAGAAGTGTATATGTGCAACACATCTTGAGCTGTGCCCACCCCTTCCCTTATATTTCTCAATTCTGTGGAATACACAATGAATTCTTGCCTGCATTCTCTCCTTCAATTCCCCTTTATTCTTCTACCCCTTTCTTCTTGGCCCCACCTTACATTCTTGTGTAAGTATCCATTTCCTGGTACTTATTTTGTTGGGCTTTGACATAGTCTTTTTGAAGAATTACACTGTTTGCCCTCTCCATAGAGTCTATTACACTTGAGTCAATTTATTGGTAACCCCTTGCTTATTACCTAGTTTTCTTGTAGATTTACTTGTTTACTTGTAGATTTATAGGCACATTCTAGCTACCACAAATGAAGGTAACAATGTAACCTATTTTTTCTGGGTCTAGCTTACTTAATATAATTTTTCCAAGCCTTTCTATTTCTTTATGAATGGTACAATACCATTATTTCTGATGGATGAGTAGAATTCCATTATATATATAATCACATTTTCTTGATCCATTCATCCATTGAGGGTCATCTGGGCTGATTCTATATCTTGGCTATTGTAAATAATGCTTGTTGTCACAAGCCTGAGGATCAATGGATGAGAATAGAAGACCTGGAAATGAACCCAGAGACTTATAGCCACCTAATATTTAATGAGAGCCCAAAAACATAGGTTGGAAGAAACACAGCCTCTTCAACAAATGATGCTGGAAAAACTGGCTATCCACATGCAGAAAACTGAAACTAGATCCTTATGTATCACTTTGTACCAGAATCAATTCCAAATGGATCAAAGACCTCAATGTAAATACAGATAGAATGAAAATATTATAGGGGAAACACTAGGGTTCCTAGGCACAGGTCAAACTTTCTAAGTAAAGATCCAGAATCACAGCAAATCAAAGAAAGACTGGATAAATGGGACTGTATCAAACTTAAAACTTTCTACATGGCAAAGGACATAGCTAACAAGCTAAATAGAAATCCCACAAAGTGGTAAAGATGTTTTTTCCAGCTATCCATCAGACAAGGGTCTCATATCTAAAATATATTTAGAGCTCAAAATTAAACCCCCAAAACTAAACCCTCAAAGAAACAACAACTCGGCTAATAAATGGGCTAGTGACTTAAAAAGAAAACTTCTCAGAAGTTAGAATGACCAATAGACACATGAAGAAATGTACAATACCTCAGGCCATAAAGGAAATACAAAGCAAAACAACTCTGAGATTCTACCTCACCCCAGTTCAAATAGCCAGTATCAAGAAAACAAACAATAATAAATGCTGGTATAGATGTGGCCAAAGGGAACTCTATTACACTGTGAGTGGGAATGTAAGTTTATTCAACCACTTTGGAAAACAGTATGGAACTGTCTTGTGACCCAGCAATTCCACTCCTGGGCATTTATCCAATAGATCACAAATAAAACTAGGATTTCATACCAGCCTTCTTCTTCTGCTTAAGGACAATGTTTCTGAATCATGAAAAACTAGGCTACATAGTCACTAAAATAATAACAAAAAGGTAACTTTTCAAGTGCTTTCTTTATGCTAGACAGGCTGCTCTACCCTTTCTAATCATTATCTCAAACATGCAACATAAGTGCTAGTATTATTTTTGTTTCTCAGAGAAAAAAATGCAGGCCGCAAGTGGAAAAGCAACTTCCCTAAATGTACGCATTTGCTGTTAGTCTTCATATATATAAGAGTCTAAATTATTCTAGAATTCTGACAGTCTAACTTGCTTTCATGAGCACCTAAAGGAACGAGAGGCTGTTTGATAGCCTAGTTATTAGAATAGCTGAATCAACTTGCTAGTCGGGTAGAGATTGCTTCATTAATTCCTTCTCCAGCTACAATACCTCTACTCTAATTTGGAAGGATAGGCTACATGATCTCTAACATGAATTGTGGGGTCCCAACACCAAGTCACATTCTGACTGCTCTCTAGCTTATGTTGATTCTGGATAGGAGGCCCTTCCATCCATCTCAGGTTGATTTTGTAAGTCCAGATAACTAGGATCCAGGGAGATGTACTTTACTGTCTTTAGGTTGGATCCCAACCTGTTTCAGCAAACATGACCTAATCTTAGGTCTATTCACTCAGCAAAACAATCCCCAGACCACAGAACAGGCCTTGGTGGAGAACAACCTGTATTGAATCAGACGGCACTAAGCATGTATAAACCTGATCTATACATCTTCTTAAACCCTCCTTGAGTTCTCTTGGATCCCCTAGCATCAGAACAGGGAAAAGAAATACATTTATATATTACATGCTTTCTATTCTTTCTTAAACAGCAATACTATGAGGTGCCAATAGCAATGAAGTCTGTGTTTGATCTGATCGATACTTTCCAGTCTCGAATCAAAGATATGGAGAAGCAGAAGAAGGAGGGTATTGTTTGCAAGGAGGACAAAAAACAGTCCCTGGAGAACTTCCTATCCAGGTATGTAATCTTTGCATTCCAGAACAGGCAGCCACAAATGAGTTACCTAAGAAAAATGCTAAAGAAACACAGGGCTGCTCTTTCTCTTGCATAGTGTTGCAACTCTCCTTGGAGAAAGCCTGCATGATGGATGCCATTTGGTCACTAAGCTTAGTTGTGTCCTCTTGGAAGTGTCTGGTTACAAGTCTGGCAAAGTTCACCTTCAAGCATGAGGACTGATTTGATGGTTGGTGTGGTGGTGGTTATTGTTGGTACTAGAGTTTGAGTCAGGGTTCAGGCTTGGTCTACTTGCTGCTGGCTGAGCTTGCTTGCTTGCTCTGCTGGTGCTCTACCACTTAAGCCATGTCTCTATTCCAGATTTTTGCTGTTTATTTTGAAGATAAAGTCTTTTCCAGATGTTGAGGGAAAATTCTTTAGGGATTTTAGGATTTGCAACAAAAATTCACTCACAAACTTTACAGAAACATCAAAATAAACACCATCCCACTGGTACAGTGGCCAAGGGGCTCCAGAAATGAAGCAAACTCTTGCCTGGAGGCTCAGTGTTAACTGTGTATCATATTGTACCATATTACTCACATGTATTGAGTAAATCTCCATATGTGAGTCAGACTTAATATTTAAGTGATTAATAAGTGGAAAAATCTGAATTCTTCCAGACTCAGAAAGCTTAGGTCTCTTACGACATAACGTGATTTCTAAAGAATATAGGACTTGTCATTCATCCAGGTTTTCAGTCTGCTCCTGGTTTGTTCTGCTTGCTTTGTGCTTCTTTACTAACTTCCCTTAAAATACCTTAGCTCTAAAATGAAAATAATGGCAGCAATAATGGTAGCAGCCTCAATCCTGGATGCTGTGATCCCTTTTGTGTGCCTTTTCTGTGCCAAACAGTGAACCTCTATTCTCTAATTTAACCTCTAGTACAATTCCATGACCCAGTACTGTAACTAGTTTAGGAGAATGGAAATTAAGCAAACTCTTCTCGTAACTGATCCTAGAGTATTGGTTCCAGGAGTCAGTGGCCCCACAAATAACTTCCTCCAAAAGGCTACCTTCTTATCACATACTCTTCTCAAAAATATAATGTGAGTTATTTTTTAATTCTATGCCCAAAGACCCAGATTTTGAAATGAGGGAAGATTCTTCTACACACACAAGATTTCAGAGTTGAAAGAAAATCGAGATTCTTCCTTCACCCCCATCCTTAGTGCAAGTATCCAAAATAAGAATGGAAAGTGGATTCTCTTATGAGGATTTAAGTCTAGCTCAGACTTGAGACCATCTTCAGCCAAAAGAGGACTCCGGAGTCCACTGGGTAGATGGCTCTTTGCTTAGTTCTATGGCCACTAAAACACAGACTTCTGATTCAAAACCTTCCTGTTAGGTGGTAGTGACTCAGAAGATTGATGATAAGCCTATTGTCTGTGAGGAATATTTCTTTTTTTTTTTCTTTTTGGTAGCACTGGGGGTTTATTCATGCTAGGTAAAGACTCTACCACTTGAGCTATTCCCCCAGGCTCCATTTTTTTTCTTTCAAGATATAAAAGACTATTTTTTTTTTAGCAATCCACTTTTGATTTGAATAAAGAAGCATTGAATATACTCAAGATAACTTAAGGCCTCAGTTCTCTCTTCAACTTTTGTTGTTATGTATGCCAGTTCTGGGCCTGGGCACTGTCCCTGAGAATTTTTGCTTAAGGCAAAAAGTTTTCCAGTGGTTAATTAGAGATAAGAGTCTCACACTTACCTACCTAGGCTGGCTTCAAACAGCAATCTTCAGATCTCAGCCTCCATGAGTAGCTAGGATTACAGGTATGAGCCACTGGCACCCAGCCTCTCTTCAGCTCTTAAATTAGGCTTACAAATTTAATTTTTCTGTTCATAACCTAGGAAATTTTGCCTACTACTTTTAGGAGGGCTTTAAAAAGTGTTTGACATTGCTTAAAAATCCACTAATCAGGCCGGGCGCTGGTGGCTCATGCCTATAATCCTAGCTACTCAGGAGGCTGAGATCTGAGGATCGCAGTTCAAAGCCAGCCCAGGCAGGAAAGTCCATGAGACTCTTATTTCCAATTAACCACCAGAAAACCAGAAGTGGCATTGTAGCTCAAGTGGTAGAGTGCTCACCTTGAGCTAAAGAGCTGAGAGACAGCGCTCAGGCCCAGAGTTCAAGCCCCCTGACTGAAAAAAAAAATTCCACTAATCAAATAATTTAACCATTTTTCATGGCCATTATATATTTAATATATTTTCAGTTATATAAAATAACCCAAACTGTTCTGAGTACTTAAATACTCCTTAAATTTAGTAAGTAAATATCATAAATGCCATGAATTTTTCAGATATTTAAAGATCTGAATTTACTTCAATTAACTTCAAAACTCTAAACTGATTATTTAAACACATATCTAATTTGAGCTTTAAGATAGTCACTTTAGTAGGCCAAAATTCTTTAAAGTTTCACTAGAACATAAATTGTCTATATAAAATAAACTGGAATATCTTTCTTGAACACACACACACAAACACACACACACATATGTATACACACATGACTACTGTAATCTTTTTTTTGCCACTTTAACTATGTTTATTCAGTTATTAAAAGAAGGGTATACAGAGATAGTCAAATGGAAGAGATATTCATAGATCAAAGAACATCAAGGGTGGGGGGATGTATACCCACCTTCTCTGGGTACCCCATCCTCCAGGTTCCTCCACATACTCAGAAATGCAAAAGTTCTCTGAAATTTGTCTTTAAGGATTTTTATGGAATCATCATTATGATTGATCACGCCAATAGTTATTGGCAATCAACTCAATTGTCAGCCCTTCTACCATCCCCAGACGTTGGACAGCTGGAGCTGAGAGTTCCAAACATCCAGTCACACCATTCTTTCCCCTGGCAACCAATCCTGATCCTGAGGCGATTCAGCAGGCTGCTAGTAGTCACTTCATTAGAGCAAGGCTGCTCATAGCTCTCAGGAAATTCCAAATGATTCAGGAGTGAAGTGTCCTGGGCTTCTATTGCTCAGAAAATGACCTTTACAATAAAATCAAATATCATTTTTTTTTCTTTTTTGGGTCCAGTCATGGGGCCTGAACTCTGGGCCTGGGCACTTCCGGCTTTTTTCTTGTTGCTTATGTGGTGCTGAGGAATCGAACCCAGGGCCTCATGCATGCAAGGCAAACGCTCTATCACTGAGCCACCTTCCCAGCCCCAAAATATCATTTTTTTAAAAAGAAAGAAACATGGAAAGAAAAAAAAAAAGAAAATTACAAAGGTCTTAAAAGTTCTGAGTCAAGACCAGAGCCAGGAACAAATATTGGAAGAGAAGATTCTTAGCACCTCCATTTACAAGGGTAATAGGAATGCTGTCAAAGGAACCTGGAACAGAGACCAATATGCATTTCTTTTTTTAATTTTTTATTTTATTGTAAAGATTCTGTAAAGAGGGTTACAGTTACATGAGTGAGGTAATGAATACATTTCTTGTCGAGCATTGATACCTCCTTCTTTGATTTTCTCCTATCTCTTCCCTTTTCTACCCCCACTCTCTCCCCACCCCCAATTCATTTTCAATATAGTGTCTTGTGAGTCTCATTGGGTCATCCTGTGTCCTTGTTTGTGATTTTTAATTCTTTTGAGGTTGTCTCTTCCTACTTCTGAATCTTTCAGTGGTAAGAGGTGCATACACACAGAACCATCCCAGTAAGCACAATGTGTCGACTCTCAAATTGACAGTTACTGATATTACTTAAAACCAGGTTGAGGCCAGTTGTGAAATCTGCATCTATAATCCTCCTGTGAGATTCTTCTCACTTCCCTAGGAAGAATAGCCTTTTATAATCTTTATTTCATGGATTTCATAATTTGAAAGGAAAAACTGACACTCAGTTGTGTTCACTTATACAAGCTAAGCTTATAATATTCAAGTCAGGTTGGTTATCAGTTGAAATATAGCACTTTTATTTGTAAGATGTACAAACATTTTATACTTAATAATCTGTTGAACTACATTGAGTCCTAAGGTCTCTGAAAGACTTATTATCTAATGTAAAAGTTTTAAAACCTATTATATTTATCCTCTTTCAGGGATATATATTTATAATGGGTATTCAAAGTGGGATATGATTACAATTTACATGTCCCATGATTGTAGTTGAACTGTGCTCACAATTTATGATGCCATTCTGCTCATAATTGTCATTGACAATTCTTAAAATAAAAGAGTGAATTACTTAAAGGTAGGAGTAAGACAGCCCTGATTTTGAATTATGGTTTTCCCATTCGTTGATTTTATGACCACAAGCTAAATACTTAAAACACTCTGGGAAGCCGGGCGCCGGTGGCTCACGCCTGTAATCCTAGCTACTTAGGAGGCTGAGATCTGAGGATCTTGGTTCAAAGCCAGCCTGGGCAGGAAAGTCTGTGAAACGCTATCTCCAATAAATCACTCAGAAAACTGGAAGTGGCTCTCTAGCTCAAGTGTTAGAATGCTTGCCTTGAGCTGAAGAGCTGAGGGACAGCACCCAGGCCCAGAGTTCAAGCTCCACGACCAATCAAAAAATAAAAAAACACATTCTGGGATTTAGTTTTTCTCTTTGAAGAATGGTAATAATAAACATAACAATTCCTATGACAATTTTGAAAGGTACATTCAATACTGATGGCGCAAGATCAAGCACAAACTGTAAACAGTGCTAGCTGTTAGTAGTTGGGCCACTTATTCAGCTCCTATTATAGAACTTTGTGGTGAAGGGATGTAAGAAAGCGAGAGATTCAACAAACACCTCAGAATTGAAACCCAGGCAAAGAGAAAAAAGGAGGAGTGGAGACAAAAACAGAATAGTCCTCTGAGTAAACCAGTGTCTAAGTGGGAATTTTCCTTCGAATTTGCTGACGAGACGGCACAGACTGGTTTCAGTTGACCAGACTCCTGAAGCCACTCTGGTCCTTAGCAATGCTCATTTGGTTGAGGCTATAATTACCTCTCTCTGAGACAGAAGCCCCAAAGAGTGGGCAAATGCACTCTAATTTTGGTATGCCAGTTAAGCAAAGCAAATATAAGCCAAACTTGTAAGGTTTTTATTTACTGAAAAGCTAAAGTGACAGACATCCTATTTACCCAAAGTGAAGTTTTGGTCAGGCTTACATTGCGTGTCAAAAGCTCTAGAAATTACTCCCTTCAGTGTCACAAGCTGGGTCCCTATCTCCTAAAATGTAGGGGAGATGACCTTCTCTCAGTTGTGTCTGAGACAGGGCGGCTCAGATCCCATCCCTCTTTTCCTAAGACTTCATTCAGCGGTGGGCACAGGTAAACAAGCCAAAATAGACCTCACCTAAAATAACTCCTTCCAGGACACCCCATACAAGGCCATAGAGGCTAGCCTGGCTGAGATCCTGGCTAGGGATCAATGCTGGTCTGGCACACCCTCCTAAGGAAGCAGGGAAGTTTAGGAGACTGTGTCTGTGACCCAGCAACCACTACTGTTCCCTTTCCCGGGAAACTTCGGACAAACTCAGACGGGTCCGTCCTCACTTTTGTGCCAAACACATTCATCTCTCTGTCCTCGGTGGGGATTTTAATTTTTCTTTCCCTTTGATGAAAAGTAAGCAGAGAAAGTAAAAGTAATGTCACAGCAAGCAATTCTTGGCAAGCCTTGCTATCCATTCAGAGGTTAGATTTCATCAGACTATCATTTTTCTCTCATCTGCCCGAACCACAGTTCTCCCAAGAGACCATTTTCTTCTTGGTTAAAAATCTTCATGTTCATTGTGAATAGGGCACAAGGAGAGAAGGAGAGAATCTATTAATCAACTCATTTGGCTGCCAACTCAGAGAGTCCTTAACACTAGGGTATGCCTGTGCTGATGGCAAAAAGAGCAAAGCTCCTTCCCTAATGAGCGTAGAGTCTGAGACAATGCTATGTAATTGCTCTTTGGATGTAGCATGTCTATCCTTTGTACCCTATTAAAGATCCTGGCAGCACTGACCAAGCATCAGCACCCCTGAAAGTGGAAGATTAGGGAAATGGCTAGACTAGACAGAAAAGTCTGTTTTGGCACTATCTTTGATTTATTCGTTGGACAAATTTCTGTAAAATGGGAGCAGGGAACTAAGCCATGTCCTTTAGAAGCCCTAGAGAATAGTACTTACTGCTCACAAACACAAAGGTTTAAATAAGTTATCATGTGACGTAGTGACGGACAATGCCCACGGACAAAGTTCAGCAATGTAGACTTCTGCCAATGAAAACACAATTTCTTTCATCTATGTGGATAACACCTATTTATAAGGGTTTGGGCATAATTTTGTAATACTCCTTTCAACTAATACTCAAAGCACTTTAATTTTTTCTTTTTGGTAAGTCATGGGGCTTGAACTCTAGGCTTGGGTGTTATCCCTCAACTCTTCAGCTCAAGGTGAGCGCCACTTCTGGTTTTCTAGTGGTTTAATTAAAGAGAAGAGTCTCACAGACTTTTCTTGCCTGGGCTGACTTGAACCGTGATCCTCAGATCTCAGCCTCCTGAGTAGCTAGGATTACAGGCGTGAGCCACCGGCGCCCGGCTCAAAGAACTTTAATTTTTATAGTATTCCTTTTAACACTCCTTTCTGCTGTTTTTTTTTTCCTTCATGGGTCTTGAACTTGGGGCCTGGGCGCTGTCCCTGAGCTCAAGGCAAGTGCTCTTCCACTTGAGCTACAGCACCACTTTTGGTTTTCTGGTGGTTAATTGGAGATGAGGCTCGCAGACTTTGCTGTCCAAGCTGGCTTTGGACTTCGACCCTCAGATCTCAGCCTCCTGAGTAGCTAGGGTTATAGGTGTGAGCCACTGGCACCCAGCCCTTCTGCTGTTTTTTTTTTAATTGTGAAAATACTGTACAGAGGGATTACAATTACATGAGCAAGGTAATGAGTGCATTTCCTATCAAGCATTGTTGCCTTCTCCTTTGTTTCCCCTTTCCATCCCTTCCCATCTCCCCCCACCCCACGCCTGCGCCCCCGCCCCCAAAGTTGTGAAGTTAGTTTTTCAACATAAGGTCTTGTACATTTCATTGTTGCAATGGGTCCACCTGTATCCCTAATTAAACAATTTGTTCTTTCCCTTCCCCTCCCCAAATTATACCAACATCAAATACAGTGAAAACAGGGGTTATACCGTGGGGGAGGGACATAGAAAGCAACAAAAAAATCACCTTATCAATATGTTAGAAACAATCCTTCTGCTGTTTTTGATTCCAGGAATAAGGGAAAGATGAGACTTCATTGAGTGACATATTCAAGGGCACCCAAAAAGGCAGTAGTGACAAAATTTGAAACTGGGCTTCCCAGTGAACAAGGCAAAATCTTTTTCTACTACCTTACCATGGCAGAGCTGTTGAGAGCTGTTTACTAATAGTATACTATACTATAGTATATTCTGTCTCAAGGTTTCGCATCTTACCATGTCATATGGGGTAAATTGTAGAATTTGCATTTGCCTCTGAAATAACCACCAGTGGTTTTTTCTTTTGGAGAGGAACCTTCTTTGACCCTTTGACTCTCTCATTCCCCTTCTTCCTGTCGCTAACACCTACATAAAATTTAATTGCCTTTTCCTACTTATTTTCTTGCTCACATATTCATTTTTTAAACTCCTCCTAATGTTAATAGAACGTGAATCTTCAGTTCTTTTCTGAAGTACTTCCCCCTACTTCTCCCCTTCCTCCTCTTCTGTATTGTACGAAGGGGTTTCAGTTCTGCAAGTTGGCTTGAGTGAAATGCATCTTGATCAATGTCACCCCTCTTCATTGTTCTCCCCCTCTTTCTTCATCTCATCCCTACCCTTGTTACATAGTTCAATTTTTAATATAAGGTACATTGATTATAATGTCTGTATTTGCTCACTCTTCTTTCTTCTGAAGCCCTTACTTCTGATACTATGGTTCAGCATGTAAGTTTGACCAGTCTTGGTTACATCTGACCATTTCAGACATGGTGAGCACAGACTCAAGAAGTGCGATGGCTTCGAGGAGCTGTAGATTAGTTCCATGGGTCAATGATTTTTATTTGGGGAATGGAAAAAAACTACCAGCTGATGCTACTCTGCCTGCTTACAGCAAGTATGGTCTTCTGTTTCTTTTCCAGGTTCCGATGGAGGAGGCGGTTACTGGTGATCTCCGCTCCCAATGATGAAGACTGGGCCTATTCACAGCAGCTCTCTGCCCTCAGTGGCCAAGCATGCAATTTTGGTGAGTGGGCAGCCACGTCATTTCTGCTTTCTTATACCACTTTCTTCTTGGTCAATTCTAAAATGGCACATAGGAGCTTAGATCATCCAAATACTCCTCAGTCTCTTGATTCCTAGACACATAACTCTATTTTATTGAATATAAACTTGTTTGCAGAATGGAGCTTTAGTTAAAACTGTGGGTTTATTTTTCTAGTTTTTAAAATTTTCATATTCTTCATTGAAGTGTTTGAAAATCAACTATTGTTTTATCTTTATTATCTTGTCTTCTGTTTCTTTTTGAAACACAACATAAGATGATAAAACTTAAGTAGCATCATTTATTTAGGGAATTCTTAGATATTTACTTAAATACCACCATTGAGTGCTTTTCTATAGATTATCTTTTATGAACTAGGAATGACATTGGGAATGAACATATTAACTAAAGCAGTCTAGCCGATACAACCTCCCCTTTAAAACGATTTGCTTTACAACTGAAAACCAAGAAAGACAGCAAGATCTGTAGTTCATTTGTTGTTTTGTTTCTTTGATACAAGATCTTGTTAAATAGCTAAAACCTGTCATTCTCTTGTCCAAGAGCAAAGATTAAAAGTGGGCACCACCACCTGTTATATCTTAGAACCTTACTCTGTGTGTGTGTGTGTGTGTGTGTTGGCACTGAGTTTTGTACTCATTGCCTCACACTTGCTTGCCTTTTTGCTTGGCTGCCACTTTACTACTTGGGCCAAATCTTCAGCCCTGCTATTTATTCAGTGGTGAAGAAGACAGGGTAAAAATTGTACTACCAAAATATAAAATAAATAAAATGAAAGGGATGTGTATACATTTTGTGAAACATTATGAGGGCCCAGTTTCTGGAGATGTCCCCCCAAACCTGTAAATTAAAAGGACTTTTAAATTTTAAGATGTAAAATAATGCGAAAGACAGTCTAGATAACAAGCTGAAAATGGTAAGAATGTTAATTTCACTTACACTCCTACCATTAAGGCTAATAATTTAAGACTTTCTTTCAACATATATTTTGTCAATATTCTTAAACATATTTTAAACTCTTTAGAGCAATCAGTAGTATCAGTTAAAACATAAGTTCTTGGGCTGGGAAGGTGGCTCAGTGGTAGAGCACTTGCCTTGCATGCTTGAGGCCCTGGGTTCGATTCCTCAGCACCACATAAGCAAAAAGAAAAAAGCCAGAAGTGGTGCTGTGGCTCAAGTGGTAGAGCGCTAGCCTTGAGCTGAAGAGCTGAGGGACAGCGCCCAGGCCCAGAGTTCAGGCCCCATGACCGGACCAAAAAAAAACAAACAAAAAAAACCACATAAGTTCTTAGAGCAGTTAATGATACATTATGAGAAGAATATAAAAATCAAATCTAGGTTTGCTGGAATACACCTGTGAGCCCATGAACATTGGAGATTGATGTCTAAGGCTTATGAGTTTCAGACTAACTTGGTTTTGAGGCTAACCTAACAAGACTTCATCTGGAACCTCTTCATTCTTTCCCTCCCAGCTTCCCCTCACCAACACACACAAAATAATAATAGTAATCATGATTTCTTCATTTTCTAAAGATGCCTTTGTAGCAGCTAGTAGGTGGTGCTTTATTTTTAATTTCAGGGCAGAATGTTGGTGCCATAGCAGTATAGGCAAACTCTTTTTGTAGCAACAGGAAATCTGAACAAGTCATGTTTTTCCAGGATTGATGAATTTCACAATCTTCCCCTTTTGAAACTATGACTCACCAATATTCACAACAGAATGTGTCTCTTCTGTAGGAAAAGAGTCAAGGCAAACATTTTTGTGGGGAATAGCATTCTGCCTTCATTTTAAGTCCAATTTTAAAAAATCCTCCCATTGTACCATTTAATTTTCCACCTAGACAACAAACATCAATATCTTATTAGTTCCAAGTTGTTACCCTGATTAGACTCTTAGTCTTCCTATTTTCTTTTTCCTCAATCCCTCCAAGTTTGCTTCATTTTCAAAAATATCAACAGGAGCTTCTCCACTTGACTGAAACTTTAACTGAGAATGGGAGGGTCTGTGTTTCTTGCTTGTTTTCCAAATAGGTATCAAGAACCTCCAGTTAAGCCAACAAACAATGGTATGCCTAGCTCTTTAGTAGTCTTCATAGATGTGTGTGTTTGGAGGGAGGGGGAACCACTTTTCTGTGAGAAAATGGTTATTCATGAAATCTATTGAAACATCAGGCTTGAACTTTTCATTTCAGAATACCAATTCTTAACCTTAGATCATCTCTGATACTTTAAAGTCTCAGTGGCTTTGCTATTTTTCCCTTTTGCCACTTAAAAGAATTGGTGTCTTAAAAAATGTTATGCTTTAATCTTAAGATCTCCAGTTGGTCTTTTCAGTTTTTAGAAGTACTTATAATCTTTTGGAAGCAGTTTAAAAATAGATTGTTTTTACTATAGGTTACTCTATATTCTTTTTAATTTTAATACTCTATAGTCCTTTTAAATTTACAAGGTTATAAGGTCCTTGGAAACAAAAGATGTCTCAAATCTTCTCTTCTAAGGCCACATGAGATGGTGCAGGTTGACAATCTGTAATCCCAACATTCAGGAGGAGAAGGCAGCAAGACATGGAGTTTGAGGCAAAACTGGAATACAGAGTGAGACAGAGACAGAAAGAAAGTTTAGGGATAGCATATCTCCACAAACAGACAGACAAACAAATAGACTAACAGACAAGAGGATTGGAAGCAAGACTCAAGACAGACGTTTGCCTAGCCTGTGTAAGGCTGTGGTACTGTAAAGGAAAGAGAAGAGAAAAATTTTCCTCTAACTTTGTGGTTTTTCCTTTTCTTTATTTTTTTTCCTCAGGTCTACGCCACATAACCATTCTGAAACTTTTAGGAGTTGGAGAAGAAGTTGGAGGAGTTTTGGAATTGTTCCCAATTAACGGTAACATGTTGCTATTTTAGAATAGTATGAATTAGTATTAAGTTCAGTTAAATAGTAGTAAGCTATATTGAAGTGGTGGGCATACCTCACAGGAGAATAAGTTCATGGACTCTTCACATTGTATATGTCTTTTTTTTGTATGACTGTATGTGTATGTATGTCTGCATCTATTTATACATGCATGTGCATATATATATGTATGTGTGAATGTGTGTATGTCTGCATGTGTAGTATCTAAATGTGGAGACATGTTTGTGTGCACAGGATGTGTATAGAGTAAGGGGTGCCAGGACTAATACTGATTTCACCATAAAACCACTCAAATGTATTCATTTTCTTGACTAAAATAATGCCTTTTGTCTATAGTGGCTTATGGTATATTTTCTTCCATATTATCTCATTTCAAGCTTATTAAACACCTAGGTTTTATCTCACTTATTTACTTTCAACAGATGAGTAAATGCAGCAAAAAAAAAATTCAGAGAAACTGAAAAAAGTGGCTACTGACTGAAAGTTTTAGGAAGTAAACCAATCCTTCCTTTCATGAACAAGCTCTTTGAATGAGACAGTGAGACACTTGTCCCAGAAGCAGACAGAGTAAATGGTTCCCCAGCAGAATCTCAGCTCATTCCTTTCTCATTCACCATTTCTTTTCATCCTAACAATAGCTAGGCATATTGATCCAGTTCTTCACATAATCAGTATCTTCCATGTTTGACAGAAAATAAGCTTCTTGTGATAAAAAAAAACAAGTCAAAAGGACAGCTATAATTACAATGAAGTAAGCTAAATGGAAATAAGCTTAGAGTTATAAGCAGCATAATGATAATTTAGGAAAGTTTCAAGAAGTTGATCCTGTCAAGATGAAATTAAAGGTCTAGTTTGACAGGCTGCAGAACAATAGGGATATTTAATATCCACTAGGAAAAAAAAACTGATCTTCTTTCAATGACTGAGCTAATGATAAAAGACTTCTCTCTATTCTTACAGAGATTTCCTATTACTTTAATATTTTATGAGTGACCACTCTTTAATTCACTAACAATTCCAATTCTGTATTCCAGGGAGCTCCATTGTTGAGCGGGAAGATGTACCAGCACATCTTGTGAAAGACATTCGTAATTATTTTCAAGTGAGCCCAGAGTACTTCTCTATGCTTTTAGTGGGAAAAGATGGAAATGTCAAATCCTGGTATCCTTCTCCAATGTGGTCCATGGTGATTGTGTATGACTTAATTGACTCCATGCAACTTCGGAGACAGGAAATGGCCATTCAGCAGTCACTGGGGATGCGCTGCCCAGAAGATGAGTATGCAGGCTATGGTTACCATAGTTACCACCAGGGATACCAGGATGGCTACCAAGATGACTACCGTCATCATGAAAGTTACCACCATGGATACCCTTATTGAAGAGAAATCTGTAACCTTAACCCTAGTCTGTTTCCCTGCAGTTGCTAAAGCCACACGTGGCCAGCTACAATAAGGGAGTTCTTCCATACTGTCTACACCCCCTGTGTTCTTTTGCAGTGTTCTTCCAAGATAAAATAAATAGCAAACATTTCCCTACTCATGAGTTGTTACTGAAACTTCAAATTGTCTTACATTTAAAGGAATTGTTCTAAGTTGTGGAGATCAGGTGCTAACTAATGCTACTAAAAATAGTGTTTTCTTACATAATGAATATTACTGGACATGAAAAAAATTATAAATATAAGTATTTATGTCTATTTTTCTTTAGTCTTCATATTTGTTGATAAATGAAAAGTATGATTAAGAATAAAGTTTGCAGGTACAGTGGCTCATTCTTAAAATCCCAGCTACCTGGGAAAGTACAGATCAGAAAGAAGGTTCTTAGTTGAAAGCCAGAACAGGCAAAATAGAGTAGGACCTCTGTCTTAACCAACAAGCTGGATATGGTGATGGTGTGTGTCTCTGACCCCAGCTATATGGAAGGTGTTAGGAAGATCATAGTCTGAGTCTGGACTGTGGCAAAAACATGAGGATTTACCTGGATTAAAAAAGCTGGAGGTGGCTCAAGTGGTTCCAACCCCAGTAGCACCCCCTTCTATCAAAAAGAGAAAGTAGTAAGATTACAGGAAATATCTGGGCAGATGGAGAACAGATAACTTCTTGGCACTCTCTAAAGTATCTTAAAAATATTTAAGATAGTTCTTTTCTCTATGTGGTTCTTTTATGAAGCTTGATACTATAGGAATGATGGTACCAGATTTAAGTCGATGTTGTCACACTAAGGCCACTGGACTTGGGAAGAGTAGGTGCTGTACCTTGAAGAAGTTGGAATGGATACCTAAGTTCTGGTCTATCTCATATTTATGAGTTCTTTTTGCATTCAGGGAGTAAACTAGTAAGCTCAGGGGCTTCCTGTGATTGAATTTGTGTCAAATTTTCAAAGATTCAGATTTGGTAGTGCATCACTGAATTCTGTCCAGCAATTCACCACTGAGCCTACAACTTAATGGAGTCATCACCTCTACCACATGGAATGCTGCAGCATTTCTTCATGGTCACACTGGAGCTTCCAAGTGTATTAAAGGTGATAGGACTGTGAGCATCCTAAACATCTCAGAGTCTCTGTACTAAGATCCTGACGTGTTCTTCAGCAGTTTCCAAATTAGGTAATTATGCACACCATTTAAAAAATATCTTGATACTTAAGTGAATTAGGCAGCTTCTGAGCAGACTGTGGTGTCTAAATATCAGCTCTTCTACAAAGTGAAAAGTCCATGGACTAAGGCTGCCGGTGATTTTAAGGAGCTTATACTGACTCTGGGGAAAATGCTTCTTGGCTTTCCTTTATCCTTATAAAAAATCCCTTCCTTCTTTCCAGGCCCCTTTCTTTGTCCTAGGCTCTTTCCCATGACCCATTCTGGCTCTCAGATGGCTATAGCTGATCAAATGTACCTGATAAGCAAAAGGTGCCGCTCTTTCCAAGGACATCTATAACACAAAAGGTGATTCATGAAGGGAAAGGGAGAGAACACCTGGGAATATCATTTCTGGAAGTTTGACAGTTGATGCTGAAAGTCTCACTTTCCTTTCCCAGAAGGATGTTCGAGATGTGATGAATTTCTCTTGTAACCTTTACCATCATTCAATTTGTCTCTGTCAGTCCTCTATCTTTAGTTTATTTCTTTCCATATATTGTCTTCAAAGAAAGAGAGATTAGAACAAAGGTTGGCCCTATTCTGTCAACATGTCTACATTTAGAAGACCTAGTCAGGAAAAAATGGAAGTCTTGGTCTGTAGAAAGAACCATCTGACATTTTGGTTCTTAATCTAGAATACGATGTTGAAGGATAGACTCAAGTTATATGATAATTTAAACATTGATTAAATTTGTACTATTTTCTAGTCACATGCATAAGTAATGGGTCTTTATGGAGGAGAGAAAGATAGGAAGAGATCAGATAGAGATGGTGAGTAATGGTAGTTCTACAGTCATTTGGAGGCTAGAATGCTTATACTCTCCTTCAGGACTTGAGCAAGTATCTCACGATGGTTTTACCATCAGCATGGGCACCTTTGTCACCATAACACCAGCAAACACAGATTCTCCTGGGAACTTTGTACTTCTTTCAGCTTTATAAAGTTGTCAGGTGTCCGTGAAAGACGATAGCAATAGTATTCATTCATTCATAAGTGAAAATCAACTGAAAGTGTGAATTCATAAGCAAAAACGTCATCAAGGTTAAATAAAAGGAGCCATCTTGATCTCACAGTATAAACTCTAAAAACATGCCTCTTCACAATCCCCAACAGGGGAAAATCTGACAAATGGAAAAATAATGAACACACTGGCAGTTCACTGTCCTTAAAGATCAGTTGAGGGTAAGAAGCCCAAGACAAGAGACAAAGCTATACAGGCTATGCATTGTTTTTCTTCTTTTTAACTTACAAAGCATTTTAGGGAGAAACAAGGTGGAAGGAGGCCACATGGAGGCTATGGCTTACTGCTAGAGTGAAAAAGTTCTGCCTCTTATCTCTGAGGGATATCAGAATGTTGGCTGTTTGATTTGGGCTAAGGTAACAGTAGAAGAATTTATGGTGCATGATTACTATGGTACTCCCTGGGTGGTTTTGTTTTGTTTTTGTTGTTGTTGTTAATGATGGTTTCCAACTGACATAACAGATTAAGTCAGGATGGTTGATTATGTTGTCAGAGAGAGAGGCATTAAAAACCTTGCTCAGAAATTTTACTTTGAGCTCTCCCAAAGTTAAGATTTTGGGAGCTAATGCTGGAGTAGTGGAGACAATATAAATAAGACTTGGAAAGCTTAAACAAAGGATACCTCTCAGACCTCTTCTGCTTGCTACACTGTATCTTCTGGCTCTCAATAAAAGTATTCTATGAATATGTCCTGTGGACTCTGCTGAGCCTTTTCAAATAGATGAACTTGGAGGGCTACGAATGTGGCTCTGTGGTAAAGTACTTACCTAGCGTATCAGAAGCCCTGCTTTGACCATTAACACTTCCAGTAAACAATATAATTTGGGAATGGCAGGCAATCACAGATGGAGTCAGGACAGAGGTACAAGGAAGAGAGATGGGAAGGCCATCAGCTTGCTTCCTCAAGCCTTCTGGGCAGGTATAAGAGAGAAAAAATTTCCTTCAATATTAGCCATTATAAAGCTTGACAAAATCAAGTCCACCTCAAGTGACAAGACTTCCACAATGGGATTTGGGCAAAGGAACCTGCTATAAGCAGAGGACTTCTGCCCTGAGTATCTCCTCCACGTGGGTCTTAAAAACCTATAGAATGGGATCTATTTGGCCGAAAATTTGGGGCTGTGGTCACATTTCTGCTTCCTAGCCTATAGTTCAAAATTCAGGAGAGCCTTTTTATAATGTAAGAAAAAAAATGATCACCCTCTAAATGTTGCTATGGGTTAGTTGTCCCGAGTAGGAAAGGTGTTTATTTCTTCTTTCACATGACAAATGTTCTCTATAGTCTCTTAATTCCAAGAGTCTCTAGGATATGGTTTCTAGACCTTTCACCTTCATTCACATCGTCTGCCATCTTAAAACAGTGATGCCTGTAAGGATCCCAGGGCAACCACAATGGAGCCTCACATTTTACCTCCAGCTTTACCCCATGTCCATCTCTCAGGATGTGCTCAGTTTATAGAAGTAAACATTACTTTGAACAACAAGTGCTTTGTAAGAGGGCAAGTGGGAGAAACAAAGGGGGAACAAATTCAGCAGTGGTACTCAGTTGACACAATGTTGAAAATGAACTATACCTGTGGGTGGGGACAGGAGGGAAAAACTGGGAGAGAACTAGGTAAGGCATGACATTGTCTAAAAGGGAATGTACTTGTTATCTGACATATGTAACTGTGACCTCTTTGTACATCACCTTTATAATAACAAGAAATTCAAAAAGGGAGGATGGGAAAAAGTAATTCTAAATTAAAAAACTGTCCATCCCCATGCACTACTGAAATCTTCTATTTTTGTAGTTTTATCTGTTCTATTGGCAAACCATGTTTTATATCTTATGTTTCTAAAAGTGAAATCCTCTTATGCTTTATTTTTAAAAAGAACCACCATAGCCAGGTGCTGGTGGCTACTCAGGAGGCTGAGATCTGAGGATCACAAAGCCAACCCGGGCAGGAAGGTCTGTAAGACTCTTTATCTCCAATTAACCACCAGAAAACCGGAAGTGGCACTGTGGTTCAAGTGATAGAGCTCTTCAGCTCAAGGACAGCACCTAGGCCCAGAGTTCAAGCCCCACAACTGACAAAAAAAAATCGCCATATAGGCTGGGAAGGTGGCTCAGTGGTAGAGTGCTTGCCTTGCATGCCTGAGGCCCTGGGTTTGATTCCTCAGCACCACATAAGCAAAAAGAAAAAAAAAGCCGGAAGTGGCACTGTGGCTCAAGCGGTAGAGTGCTAGCCTTGAGCTGAAGAGCTGAGGGACAGCACCCAGGCCCAGAGTTTAGGCCCCACAACCGGACCCCCCCCCAAAAAAAACAAAAAAAATCGCTATAATCTTCCCATTATTCATAACTCTGGTGGTAGTATGTATGATAAGGTAAGCCATTTTGATATCCTGAGATATTAAGATCTACACCAGGGGCTGGGAAGGTGGCTCAGTGGTAGAGCGCTTTCCTTGCATGTATGAGGCCTTGGGTTCAATTCCTTAGCACCACATAAGCAGAAAAAGCTGCAAGTGGCACTATGGCTCAAATGGTAGAACGCTAGCCTTGAGCTGAAGAGCTCAGAGACAGCAGCCAGCCCCAGAGTTCAGGCTCCATGACTGACAAAAAACAAAAAAAACAAGATCTATTGCAAGTTTTATTTTTTTATTTTTATTTTTTAATTTTTTTGGTTGGTCATGGGGCCTGAACTCTAGGCCTGGGCACTGTCCCTCAGCTCTTCAGCTCAAGGTTAGCACTTTACCACTTGAGCCACAGGGCCACTTCCGGCTTTTTCTGCTTATGTGGTGCTGAGCAATCGAAGCCAGGGCCTCATGCATGCAAGGCAAGTGCTCTACCACTGAGCCACCTTCCCAGCCCCATATTGCAAGTTTTAAAAAGTGTTCA